CCAGCCCGCGCGTACAATTCCATACCGTGCGTTATTCTCAACGTGTTGACGAAGTGACGGAGCGATCGTGAACTTTTCCGACCTATCGACGCTCGTTTACGGTGTATTTTAAAGGATTCTTAGTGTTGGACGAAAGAAGATACTATATCCGGGAAGATCGTGGAATTTCTTCCGAAGATTCTGTGAATTTTTCCAAAGAGGATAATTGCTCGAGTGCGCGAATTGTGTTTTAAACATCGTATCAAGCAAGTTGCAGAAGACATAGAAAACGAAGGTGAAGTTTCTGTTTGTCGCCGTACGAATCAGATTATCGCGTACAGTGAAATATCAGTGATATTGACACATGTAACTCGATGATAATCGCAATCGTATGTAGGATATAAAGGATCGTGAGTAATCGAAATAACCGTGTGTTGACGAACGGTGTCAAGCATTTTCGTCACCGAGGAGAAGATTCGGGAACCGTCGCATTACCAACAGCAGCCGTGGTACCGCGGTTTTCATGATTCTCGTTTGACAAGCAGACAGCAACCCGCCACTCCGGCACCGGTCAGCTCTATGACCATGCTCCAGTCGCAGAAGCTGTACGGCGATGCTGGTAGCCTCGGCGGCGCGATGACCAGCGCCGCGATGTCCACGATGGGCAGCATGGCGCCGACGTACAGCTCGATCAACTCGGTAGGATGTATGCCTATGGGTATGTCAATGGGAGTCGGTGTCGGACCGAGTTGCAGTCCTCAGGGCGCCGGCGGTTTCAACATGAGCACCATGAGTTCGGCAATGGGGATGGCATCGATGGGCGGTGGTGCTATGGGTGGTTACGGGGGTGCCTCGATGGGAGGCGGTGGCGCGTGTATGAGCGCCGTCGGCTATGGTCCTCTAACGCCAGGCGGCGGCGCCGGTGTTACCAGGGATCCTCTTTCCCTTACCGAGCCGGATTCGCCTAATTCCGCTTTGCAACGCGCCAGAACCGACAAGTCTTACCGCAGAAGTTACACGCACGCGAAACCGCCCTATTCCTACATCAGCCTGATCACAATGGCTATCCAGAACGCGCCCAGCAAGATGCTTACGTTGTCGGAGATCTATCAGTTCATCATGGACCTGTTCCCCTTCTACAGACAAAATCAGCAACGCTGGCAGAATTCCATCAGGCATTCGCTCAGCTTCAACGATTGTTTCGTGAAAGTGGCGCGAACTCCGGACAAGCCTGGCAAGGGCTCCTTTTGGACCTTGCATCCAGAGAGTGGGAACATGTTTGAGAATGGATGTTATCTACGTCGACAGAAGAGGTTCAAAGACGAGAAGAAAGAATTAACCAGACAGAACAACAAGCATCAACAGCATCATACCGGAGCCGCAGCAGCCGCAGCCGCGGCAGCCGCCGCACCGCCGCAGCCGCCGCCGGACACAATAGTCCTACCTCCCACGAGTTGGCTCACGCGGCTAAAAAGACAACGTCTTCTCTCCACCACGGACCCCAGCAACAGGACGACAAGGATCTTCATTCCCTGGTGTCGTCGCACCATCATCACCACGCAGCCAGTCTCCATCAACACCACGCCTCGTTGAAAAGCGATACAACGGACATAGGCGGCCTCCTAGGACCCGAACTAGGCACTGCTCACGACGAATTGACCGCCATGGTCAGTCGAAGTCTTCATCCTCACTTGATCTCCGAACCTACGGCTCTGCATCATGGAATGACCGGTAGTTTGAAACAAGAGCCACCGTACACCGCTGCCAGTCATCCTTTTAGCATCACCAGGCTACTGCCGGGCGCGACGGCGGGCACATCGCCAGGCGCGCAAGACATCAAGCCACCGGAGATGAAAATGTACGAGCAGCTGCATCAGAGCTACGCCAACTTCGGCTCGCCTCATCATCCTCACGCTCACTCCGCGCCACCAAGTCACCATCATCACAATGGCATGCACACGGGCTCGAACGCGGCTGGTCCAATGCACAACATGACCAATCACCATCACCAGGAGTATTACCAGAGTCCGCTGTACCATCACGCGACCAGCGTGGCTAGTAGCAGCGCGCCCCCGCCGTCCTCCGTCGCCACCGCGGCTCCAGGCTTGTGACACCACGCTACCCACCCCTACGCCCTGGCCTGAGTCGCTGCAGCCGGCAGCCGCGGCATACGCCGCCACCGCAGCCGCGAGCAATCCCTCGACCACGGCGAACATCGTTCTCCCTGTCCTCGATCAGGATCACCAAGCCCATCATCATCAACCACCCTCCTCTTCCACCGCCTTGTCGTCCTCGTCATCGTCTTCTTCGTCCTCGTCGTCGGCACCCTC